AACCGTTTAGAAATAATTTGCAAAAAACCTACTACTGGGCCCCTCTTCAAGAAGGCGTGGCTCCGTTAAGGAGCATTTTTCGATACATGTTCATTTGAAAAATTAATATTATTTTTGAGAACAGATTTCACTGCTTTAAGTTGGTGACTTAATTTAGGGACACCCTGTTTTGGAGGATACAGGAAACACAATTTTTGGCTTTCTCGCATACTTTAGCCGAATAAAACTAGCAAATCCCATGATTGCGTGTAACATAAAAAAATAAAATGTCTATTAAAAACTTTAATTTGCTGGCTTTCCCCTACATGTAGACCGGACTTCTATAAACACAAACTTTTCGAAAATTGCCTTAAAACATTTTTGTTTCCATTTTTACCTCGTTTGCTAATAATCTTCGGACACCTGGTGCAAAGTGTTGCTTGACTTTATGACTCGTGCGATATTTTCAAGTTCTTAAAAAATATTATTTTATGAGCAGATTCTTCTAGGAAATTTTGATTCCGGAAAATAACAGCGTGTATGTTATGTGCTTCAATGAAGGTTTGCAGGTGCTTTCACGGGTGAAATCCTATTCAGAATTCACGGGGTTTCAAATAGTACGAGTTCAAAAACCATTTTTGCTCCAAACCTCAATTTATTTTGCGTGAAATGCATTTGAAAATAAAGCATTGAAGATAAGGTGGATGTATTTCTCAGGCAAATGTAACGAATGAACGTGGTTATATAAGAGCATTCTAAGTGGGTCAATTAATAAAATAGCACAAATCACTGCTACTGAAAATTGCTATTCAAGTGACGGACAATGGAAATACGCTCCTGTTTTAAATTGGCCAAAACCATGCGCGCTTCTTTTTCCTCCAAGTTCTGACCTCTGACTCGTCAGTAGTCTCAAAACGGCAAAAGTTCGTGTTGCCGAGTCTGTATCACATTATTTTGGATTACGTAAATATTTAATTTAGTGATTAATTTGTGTAGAAAATGATCAACATTCAATACTTATTTGGATTAGTCTGCCTGGCGGCAGTGTGTTTTCCAACTGGTAAGTAATGTTTTCCTTTACTTATAAAGAAATTGCTATTTCGGTGCTGCTTTTTAAAATTTGCTGGGCTCTCCGATTCGGTATCTTAAAATGTTTATTCACGGAAATATTTATATCACATTTAGCAACGAGCAGAACTTTTTGATTGAATCGAAATGAACTAAAATTGATTGAATGAGTCGGAACAAAAGGCTGGGCGCGAGAGTATGCTAAAATCAATACCGCAAGCAATAGTCCTCCACTCGTGTGCCAGTTAACAGCATAATAACAAATAATATGAACCAATCTTAAAAAAAATGTTTTTGATAAATATGGTCCATTCAGAACAAACTTGTTATTTTGCGTGTTCATATAATACATTGTTACACTTCTGAAGTTCTTTGTTGAAAATATTAATATATTTTGAAAATATGACACTACCTAGAACGAAATCCATAGTGTTTCGATTAGAACCAAAAAGTTAATTTTGAGTATGATGCTGTACAGAATATAGTAAGTTTTTGGCCATCGAAAATTCGCATCCAAACTTGGGGTGGAGATATCGGCTAGAGGGCGCAAGGAAGGTCCTGTTGCCTGACCCTTTTACATTAAAAAAATTACAAGTGCAAACAAACCTCAAATGAACCAGATGCATTTGTTTACTTTACGCTCTGAGAAACTTAGAGTCTCTTATTGGCGTCTCCATACTCAATTTGCTTTACAGGGTGAATACATCATAGCAAACTGCGGATTCTGGATTTTATAAGATACTTTAACCAAACATGCCTCAGTAAATTACAGCTGAATTACGATAATAATAAGAATAATACATTTTATTTCAAAATTGTTTCACATATGTTTCATAGTTAAATTGCATCAACAAAAATCAACACATATCATCACACCACCTTATATTCCCTATAAATTAAAATTAGTTTCAGGTTGGAAAAGTTCCAGGCGAATAAGCATTTTTATTTTTTAAACAAATTTTGGATTGAAATTTATCTAATTTTTATTGATCACTTATTAAACAGTTTTATGCACAAATAGTGTACACTTTTTTCGGTTGCCTGTAAGTGATGCTTAGGCTACGTTTGCTGATCTGATCTTGTGTTGTTTTTATTTACATATCCAGATTGGAATAAATAGTTTTTTCTATTGCGGAAAAATATTAAGCACTCCTATACAGGGTGTTTACGGTGTCAAATTTCAGAGCAGGATTCTGCACGAAAAAATAATGACAGTTTGCTTATGATTCGTATGTTCGCAAATTATTCGCTTTCCCAGAACGGTACCCCCTCACACAATATTTGCTCGTCTGCAAAAACGATTGCGCCAAAATGGTATATTTGGCCTTGAGAAATACGAACTGTGCAACTAGAAGACGCAGTTTTAGAGTTAATTGTGGAGTCACTTGAAATAAGTAGTCGAAAAATGTATGACTTTGGGTATTTGATGACCATTTAGTCCATCCATATTTCCTTCCACAACGACTCACAAGAGGTGAATCTCACTTTAATTTCATACAGGAAGGAGTTCAATAGCCGCATTTCCTTCCTCTACATTTTTGCATTTGGGGCTTTCTTAAGTCATTAGTTTATTCCACTCCCGTTGAAAGTATTCATGGCCTGAGGAATTAAATTATAGCCGGCTGTGAGACAATAAGACATATACCAGGAATATTTGCGCAAAAATCACAATCAATGGGGCGAAGAGTTGATTGAAGAGATAATGTTGTGTCACGTCTAAGCTAGACCATTTTGAGCATTTGTTGTAGCTTTGCATCTATTAAAAATTTGATGTGTGTTATTTTTTGTCATTCTGCTTTACCAAAAGTTACCGTTATTGTGCTAAATAATTCTTGATAACCTATTATAGAGGAATGAAGAATACGGAATGCCTACCTCTTAAAATCCACCAAATTTCATTTTCCTATCTCGATCAATTTCAGAGAAATAAACGCATCGTCTGTTTTAAAAACATTAACACCCGATATCTCATATCACGAATCATTTGCGTCATACGAATCATAAGCAAACTGTAATTATTTTTTAATGCAGAATCCTCTATTGAAGTTGGTCACACTTATTTACTAACACTCGGTATAATCAACTTTTATTAATAATTTTACGAAAAAAAGTAGCCTTTATAAAAAGTTATGCATGTTCTAAAATGTAAAATACAATCAGCAGATACAACATTTTTTCAGTCGTTTACGCGGTTTTTCAAAAAAAAGAAAATGTTCTCAAGAGTAGCTAAACAAAGTGATTAATAATAAATAGTAATCTCTTAATTTTATTGAACATTGATAACCTTTCAATTACTTCATATAAATGAATAATTCCATAATAATTCACTTTGTTGCACCTACTTAATACTTTTAACGACCATAATTAGCTCCTTCACTTAACTGGTGCCTTAATATATCCGCCATCTCTGTCAATAAAGCCAATAACTCAATCACAAAAGTTTTTAAATTTCTTCTAACCACAGTCGCAGAAATTCTCCGGGCCGATTATTTTATGATTTTTTGAGGATAGACCATCCACTTTAGGTAACCGCATAGAAAAAATCTGGTAGTATCAAATCTGGAAACTGAGGGGTCAAGAAATTCCCAAAATCGATCCACAACTCTTCCAAGTATTTTTTGGATGTTCGATTCCTTGTATTATTTCAAATTCTATATCATCATTGAGAACCAGTTGTTGATAAATATATTACTTACATCTCCAAAATTATTGAATTTGTTTAATATGTTTCTTACTGTGCCACAGTGAAAAAAAATTTCTGGATCTCGGTTATTAACAATATCTGCAGCTCTAGAAACTTCTAAAACTTGTAGGGTTTCATTTGAAATAAGCAAGTTATTGAAGTTTAAACAATGCAAAAATGACATGCAAATTTATAAGTTTATTGGGCGATTTGTGGATAACTTTCCACAAATAAAATATGTCGCCACGTAGCCTCTAGGTCTTCTTCAAACCCACGAAGACCAATTTGCAAGTTAATGAAAATATGGAAAAATTAAATAATAATGTAAAATAGTTTTTGAATGCGCGCTTGTTCAACACCAAAATCTCTCATAAGAAGAAATTAATTCCTTAGAAAATTCATATTTTTGTTTATGTATTATATTTCATATTAAGCGGACTTTGACACACAATGAGCAACCCTGTACTATGGAAAAGTCCAAAATTCCGAATACGTTCCATTACGCCAGTAATAATACAATCGTGTGTAGTCTATGGCCCGTTCCTGTTTATTTAATAGTGTGTAGTCTGTCGGCCGGTGTCCTTTGGATGCGCTTTCGTCCGAACTGTGTTTGTATCTTTTTCAGACTCTTTCAGGGATCAAGTTAGAATACTATTATTCTTATATATCGGCTTTAGCTGGACCATAATATATAAACTCTGTTATTTACAGTATATGCGATCTCATGCTACGAATGCAACAGTGCGCAAGATAAACGATGTCTGGGCGATATCAATAATCAATTGAGCGACGATCTGAAGAAGCCTTGTCCAGATAAAAAGGACGACAAACCGTACACATTATGTAGAAAAATTAAGCAAATGATCGACTTTGAAGTGAATGGACGTAAGTATCAATTCTCCGATCAACTTAATTCAAAAAGTATAAATTGTTGGGAGACACTTTATTTTCGAAAAAATCCTAACGATATACATTTCCACTTTCAATATCTTAATTTTATGAATTTTTTATAGTTCAGCCAGATAACCGAGTAATACGCACATGTGGTTGGGATGATTCCCAATACAAAAATAAATGTTACCAAAGATCAGGCTTCGGTGGGCGACAGGAAGTTTGTGCGTGCGATAAAGATCACTGCAATGGAAGTTACATAGTAACCGCATCTGCCGCCCTTGTAGCTGGACTCGTAATCTTATTAAAAATTAGCATATTTTAAGTTTTATTTATTCAATAAAACCTGGAAGAAATCAAAACTTGTTTATAAATCAACATTTCATACCAATATTAAAAATTAGATCGGACTAATAAATTATTGTTAAATCGCAGCCGCAACAGTCAAAGATTTTGTCGTAATGCAGAAATAAAACTATTAAAGCAAACACAAATTATGAAAGATTCAAATTATGTTCGTTTGTTAAGTATTTCATTAGATTACTGTAGATGTAGATATATCTGTAAATTAAACTCGCTGTAGGGTAGAATGCCAATACTTAGGCTAAAGTGTAGTACTTTAATAAACTATTCAGCAAAGCTCACATTGGCGAAAAATTTCTTTAGGTACGGAGTACTTCTTACAAGTATACACCAAGTAGATATGTAACAATTTCTTAGATTACTATCGACTATTTATACATAGCACGTAAAATGAAATAACTGTACTAGTTCAATACATATTGTCAGATATACATTGTGCTTTTGAAATGTTCACAAATATTTTCCAATCGAAAGATAGCAATTGTTTAATACCCTTTGTAGGCTAATGTACAATTTGATATTTTTTGAAGTATTGCTTTTTACTCAGTTCTAATTTTGATATTCAGTCTCTTTTATTTTTTCTGTTACACGCAATCATGGGATCTGCTAGTTTCTTTGTGTGGACGTGGACGCCTTTACAGAACATTCCACTCAAAACGGGGGACGTTCTATGAAAGCATTCACACGTACGTTCGCCTCTTTTGCCGAAAAAATAAATATATCAAAGAAACGAGACCGGAATGAAAAAAAATATTTCATGGCATGATCCCTACTGATTCCAGATGCGTAATTTGACATGAATCATCTACTCCGGAAATTAAAAAGTTAGAGACATGCTAACATTAAACTGAGGCAAGATTTGCACTTTACAACAAAACATAAGTGCAAACCAGTGATGCAATATAAAGGAACACGAGAAAAAATTTGGTAAACAACATTTTAGTTAACCATTCAATTTACATTATTGTTGCATATATTTAACACATTTTGTGTGTTAATCACAAGGACTACAACTAACGTTTAATATTCACGGGGATGGGTAATGCTATGGTGTTCATAGAATGTAAAGATGTTATATTTGTTGCTTTATTTTAAAAAATGTATATCTGATATTTTGTTTTTAGAGTAGTATGTAAGTATTGAAAAATATGTTATTTGTAAGGAGGCAACTGGGACTCAACCGAATCGAACAACACGAAACAATAATCACCAATTTTAACAGTTTACATGCACATATCAAATGAGCTTTTGACACTGCCCAATTCACAAAATTATCAATAACTAAATTTGTGATAGTTCACGTAGATGTTTTTTGTATGTACAACGCAAAATAAAAGCTTCAAATATTGCAGTGTACTGAATATTATTGCCATATATTTTTTAAATCCGATTTCAAGTAATCGGCCTAATCTGTTAGCCAACAGTTCATATTGTTATTAGAGAGTTATTTGACGCTCAATAAGGACATGCAGTAATAAAGTTTGTGGTATTTTGACACATACGCCTGCGCAATTGGGTCTAAAAATCTGTGCTATTTGAGCAGCAATACTGGACGCTTTATTTCTACCTTATACTGGCAGGTGACATTTCTAACGTCCGCTTGCAGGTGTAACTCTATAATATATAATCGAATAATTCTCTATTAACACTTTGATTCCACAGTATATATCTAATAATAGTGCGAAAATTTACAGGATTTTGAAAGCGGATTTTTGACGGGCGTCTTTTTTTATCCCGCTTAACCGGCTTTAGCTTTACTACTTCCTGAACGTCCCCTTCTTTGGAAACTTTTCCTTTGTCTAGTTTAAAGCCTGACATTTCAAGAGCCTCTGCTTCTACTTTTGGTTTTGGCTGGCGCCTCCACGGAGTAGCAGGAGTCTCTTCCTGCTCTTTAGGCCTTTCTTCAAACTCATATTTTTCAGCAACTTCAGGAAATATATTTCTCAGCATCCGGAATTTCTGGCAGTTCAACGTCGTTCTTCTTCTATGGCTTCACTTTCTTCTCAATTATATCTATTATATATATTAAGTCTTTGCTTTCGTCTGGTTGCTCGGTCTTAACAACTAGCTATGCAAATTCTTCAACTTCGGCCTTTTTTCTTCCGGCTTCATTTGCTGTTGTTCTATAGTATGTTTCTTCGGTTTAATTTTCTTGGGTTTATCATCGTCAACTTTTAGAACAATAGTGTATTCAACTTCACTTATTGTTTCCACAACTACTGAGACAGTGACTTCCTAAGTTTTTTCTTCTTCTCCCACTGTAACGATTTCTGTTGTTTCTTCTTTATCCCCTTCCTTCTGCTTAATGGTTTTTTTTTCTAGGCTTACCCTGATCCATGATTACAGTTTGTTCGACTTCTTCTGGAAGTTCCTGAACCGACGGCTTACAGGATGATGCAAAATTTGCGTCATTCCTTTTAAGGCGTTTTAGGGGCTCACTTCGAGAGTAGGAGAAATATATAAGTTCTATATTGTTGAGGCGGATTCATTTTTTACAAACTTCTTTTTGGGTATTTCGCCTCAAAATTTTTTGTCTTTAAAAAAGACATAATTTCCTCACGT